ATAATATTTTAATGGGTTGAACTTTGAATACCATATCTAACAACTCTTTGCTTAACCCAAAGTCACAAACATTTTTTCTGTGCTTTCTTCTATAATTTTTATAGTTTTAAGTTTTGCATTTAAGTCTATGATCCATTTTGAGTAAATTTCTCTAAGATTTGGGTCAAGATTCACTTTCTGTCCACATAAATGCTCAATAATTCTAACACCATTTCTTCAAAAAATTTTTTCATTGAATTGCCTTTGCATCTTTGTTGAAAATTAATGGACTTTATTCATGTCCATTTATATATAGACTTTATATTCTTTTAAGTTGATCTTTTATTTTTATCTTTTTGTCAATACTGTACCATCTTCGTTACCATACCTTTACAATCCAGCTTGAAATCAAGTAATCAGTCATCCAACTTTGTTTTTCTTTTTCAAAATTATTTGGCTTTTCTAATCCTTCACATTTCTATATAAATTTTAGGATCAGCCTGTTGATTTCTACAAAGAGAAGCCTCCTGAGAGTTTCATTGGGATTTTATTGAACCTATAAATCAATTTGATAATAATTGAAATCTTAATGATAAGTGTTTCAATCTATGAATATAAAATGTCTCTCCATTTATTTATGTCTTTTTAATTTATTTCATCAATGTATTTTCATTTCCAACATAAAGATCTAGCACATATTTTGTTAGGTTTGCATTGAAATATTTTAGATTTTTGTAAATGCCACATTTTAATTTCACTTTCAAATTGATTTTTTTATGTTGACCTTGTGTTCTTTGATCATACTAAACCTGATCATTAATTCCATTAGCTTTTTGATATTCTTTGAGATTGTCTACATAGATGATCCTGCACCTGTTGATAGATTAGTGTTAATTACTTTCTTTAAAATACCTGTGCTTTTTTTTCTTACCTTCTTGCCCTGGTTTGGAGCTTTATGAGGACACTGAATAAGACCGGTGAGAATAGACACTCTTGTTTTTTCTCAGTCTTAGGGGAAACACATTTGATCTTTCACCATTAAGTAAGATTTCAATTGTAGGTTTTTTATAAATGCTTTTCATCACCTCGAGGAAATTCCTTTATATTCTCAGTTTTCTAAGAGATTTTACCATGAATGGATGTTTAATTTTGTCAAAAATTTTGTTTGCATTTATTGAGATGAGTATATGGTTTGAATTCTTTAGTTTGATGATATGGTGAACTACAGTGTCTGATTTTCAGTGTTGAGCAGTCCTTGCATTCTTAGGGTCAAGCAACATATTTGTGATGTATTATCCTTTTTATATATTGCTGGATTTGATTTGTCAACATTTTATTGAAGATTTTTGCATCTAAGTTCATGAGAGATATTGGTTTATAGTTTTCTTTTTTTCAATGTCTGGTTTGCATATTAAGATGATATTCTCCTCATAAATCACTTAGGAAATGTTCCTTCCTCTTCTATTTTTGTGGGAGAGCTTGTGTAGCATTGATTTTTTTTCTTTTTACTTGAGGAAGATTGTCCCTGAGCTAACACCTGTTCCAATATTCCTCTATTTTGTATGTGGGATGCTGCCTCAGCATGGCTTGTTGAGTAGTTTGTAGGTCCATGCCCGGGATCCCAACCCATGAACCTGGGCTGCTGAAGTGGAGCATGCAAACTAAACACTACATCACTGGACCAGCCTCAATATTATTTCTTTATTAAATTATACAATGTTCCAATGAACCCATCTGGCCCAGGAGTTCTCTTGTTGGCAAATTTTAAATTGCAACTTCAATTTCACTAAAAGATTTGTAACTACAGTTTACTTATTCCTTCTTGAAGGAGCTTGGTAATTTATTTCTTAAAATAATTGTCCATTTACTCTAAGTTGGCAAAATCTTAGGCATAAAGTTGTTTGTAATATTTCTTAATTATCATCTTAATCTCTAAAGAGTCTGTAAGGCTTTTCTCTCCTCTATTTCCAGTATTGGTAATTTGTGGCTTTTCTCCTTCTTCCCTGATTAGTCTAGCTAGAGGGTTATCAAGGAACCAGGTTTTCATTTCATTGATTGTCTCTATTGCTTTTCTGTTTTCAATTTAATTGAGTTGAGCTCTCATCTTTATTATTTCCCTTCTTTTACTTGTTTTGGCCTTAATTTGCTCTGGTTGCTCTGGTTTCTTAGGATGGAGTAAGTGAGTGTGTTTGGTAAGACTAGAAAAGAGAGTATGTCACATGTCCATGAGGGGCTGACAAACAATTCTCCTGCCATCCATTTAAGTGAGGTTGAGGATTTAATGAGTTTAAGTTTTTGGAAGAGTGCTTAAGTAAAAGAGAGGACTACATTACTATTCCTCTTACTTTTTATTACTTTGTATTTAAATTTCTTTTTATAAGTGAAATATTACAAATCATTTTACGCTGTTGCTTTTTTTCCCATCTCTCTGACTCCACAATATCAGATGAGCTTCCTCATTTCTCATGAATTTAACAATTTAATGGATGTCTTTCCTTTCCCATTCAGTAATAGATTTTCTGCCTGGTCTGTAATGTCAACTCAAAATATACTTCCAAGATAATTTCTTTATCCTTGAAATTAAATATAATAACATAAACTACCACTGCTCACATTACAAAAAGATATCCATGTATCTGACTTTTTAAAATTCTTCCTTTTTTCCTGAGAATTCGATGAGAGCTTTTCATCTACAGTTTACATCTGTCTTAAAATGGAGAAACTATTGTGTATAACTTTGTGTTTTTAACTTTATTTGAATGTATTCCATGCAGAAACCAACTTCTCATGCATGAATCTGCATTCTCCATCTTCCAACTCCGAAACTCTCTTCTGTCATTATTTTCAATACTTTAGTATCTAAAGTGTGCATCATTGTTTCAGTGATCTGCAACACAGATTTGACTCTTCACTACACCTATTAAGTTATTGCAATTTCATTGGTGAATTTTAATCTGTTTTCAGGCTCTTCTCTCTTGTCCAGGTCTTCTGTGATCCTTACATTCTTCTCAGCTTTACTCTTGGTTTGCTATTTTGTTATTCATTGAACCAATGTTGCCATGCATTTTCCAGTCCTTGCTGTTTCCAGTTGTGTCTTTTCTTCTTAAAAACAATCCTTCTTTTGAAATAATTAAATTGAAAAAGTAATGCACGTTTGTTGTACAGATAACAGATGTAAGTATAAAGGCAAAACTAATTTTATTTTCATCACCATTTAAGGTAAATCTGGTTAACAACCTGGTATGTTTGTTTGTAGCGGATTGTATTTCTCCCCAGTGACCACAGCAATGTAGCTGGTCCTAGATGCTCTTCCAGAACCTTGCTCACCTCCATAAGAGATGGCTTCTAATTTACCTGCTCCTTAAACTTAGTAGGTGTTTGTGATTGCTTCAACTAACAGAATGTGGCAGAAGTAATGCCACGTGCTCACTGAGGTTAGGGCATGGGGCAATGCAGTTTCCACATAGTTCTCTCTCCCTTTCTCTCTCTCTGCCTTTGGAACCCAGCCACATAGAGAAAAAGTAAAAAGTACGTCCCCAAACAAATAGCCAGAAGCCACCATGGATCTCCAGACATATGAACAAATGAGACTTCAGATTGTTCTAGACCCCAGCCTTCAAGTCTCCAGCAAGGAGTCTGATCGTCATGGACCAGGGATAAGCAGCTCAGCCCTGCCTTGTCTGAATTCCTCAGTCTGGGAATTTGTCAGTGTAATAAATGGCTATTTTATGTCACTATTTTGGGAATGAATTGAGAGAGAGATTTGTTTCTTTAGTTTACTCTTTTATTTGCTTTTAACTAAAGTCATACTGATCACATCACTCTGCAGTTTAACTTTTTTCCTGAACGAAATATCAAAGGGCAATAATCTAGATGCAATTCCATCTTCAAAGGCTCCCAGGGGATCCATTTTCATAACTCTTTACATAGCCATCAGGTGACTGGTGACCCCCAGGGCATAACCTGATATGTGACAATTAATCACTGAGGGCATTTCTTTCTTCCTTACTTTTTCCGTGTTCATATAATGCATGCAAATGTGCACATATTTATACTTATATAGATACGAAGAAAGGTGTTTTGTGCCACTGTCCATTTTAGAAACACAGGTTCAAGTTCATATTTTACATGTGGCTGTTTTCTTTTTCTTCTTTCTTTTCTTCTTTTTTTTTTTTTTTTGTTTGCTGAGGAAGATTCACCCTGGCCTAACATCTGTGCCAATCTTCCTCTATTTTGTATGTGGGTCACTGCCACAGCATGGTCACTGACAAGTGGTGTAGGTCCACACCTGAGAACCAAACCTGGACCACCAAAACAGAATGGGCTGAACTTAACCACTAGGCCATGGGCCAATCCCTGTTTTATTTTTCATTGTACTTTCATTGGCTGGTACAGTGCTGGAACATGTTATATCTTTTTTTTTTTTTTTTTTTTTTTTGCTTTGTAATCAGTATATTAGGGAGACATTCACACATTGCAAGAATTGCCTAAATTCTGATATCCAGATTTAAGCTTGTGAACATGAATTTTAAACATACAATTACAGCTATTCATCATAATTTGTTATACTACCAACATTAAATTACAGTTACTTTGGAGCATAAATTGTTTAAAGCCAGCCTGTAATATACCTAAAGAACACCTTCCTAACTCATACATGCACATTACTCTCCATGTCTAGGTCTTATGACTAACTTCTAAGTTACCCTGCTCCAGAAGTCACTACTCTTGAGGCTTATCATGGTCCAGAGAGAAGGAAAAATATACAGATATTAAAAAAATAATGATAATAAGATGGCACAGCAGAAGGGAATGCAGTCCTGTAAGTGCAAGGCCTGAAGCAGCAGCAGATCTGATAAACCCCTTCTGTAGAAAGGTGTCATTTCCATCACTGACCCACAGGCTGAATCACAGAGCATGCCATCTTCAAGTACAGTGGAGGCAACAGAATAAATGCAGAGGCATCACGAGTCCCACTGAGTACAGCTATACAGACCAACACTTCTCTACAAAGTCAGTTCTCTGTCTGATTGCCAGTTAACACACAGTTTTAATTTCATAGTTTACAATGAAGGGTCATACACTGAAGTCAATACATATACCTGGCATTTCAGTCTAAGCTATTCCACATACACAGCTGAAATCAATTACAAGGTATGGCCTAACAAACGCTAGGGGAAAATTCTTTTTAAAGTAGTTTTTACAGGTGTTAAACTTATCTTGCACACTGAAGTCATCATACATACAGGGCAAAGTCAGAGCTTTTATACTTGAGTTTATTCTTCATTTAACTTTTAAAACACTACTATAGTTGAATATTAAAACAAAAACAATAGCAAGTAGTGAGCATATTCTGATTACAGTCCTTCACTCATTCACTACCGCATAAAAAATGCCAGCAGTGAGTGTTGGTCACTGGCCCCATTAAGAGGTCTGACACTGAACACCACCCCTGGGATGATGCTCGTCATCCTCATACGCTTCTCCATTGTAATGGCGCCGTCTTTCCTGATTCGGATCAAAGTCCACCAGTTCTACCTGGTCCATTTCATCAGTCTCTTCTACTTCCTTCCTCTCAGGTAGGAGTTTTTCCAGCAAGGAGAGTTTATCAGGAGAGAGAAAGCCATTCTCAGGAAAGTTTACCTTAAATTCGATGATTAGGCGACCCTTTTCATACGGTCTGCGATAAATTGGCATGCCTTCATTTAGCACACACTTGATATCTCCATGCTTGACAATCTGACCTGGATGAGAGGTGATGACTATGGTTCGGTTGTCAAGAGTGGATATTGGCTTTTGGAAGCCACACAATGCTTCAACCAGCTGTATGTCCATACACATGAAAAGGTCTTCTCCTCGTCGAGTAAAGACAGCATGGTCCTTCTGATCTAGAACAATGATAATGTCTCCTGGCTCCAGTCCTGGTTCTTGGTCGCCTTCGCCATGGAATGTTATCTTCTGGCCATCTTTCATGCCTTTGTCGATATGAACTTCTAGAATCTTCTTCTCTCGAACTATCTTCCTTCCGTTGCAGCTTTTACATCTATCTTTAGGACTGATGCGTTCCCCGTGGCCTTGGCACTCCATACACACAGACTGGATCTGCTGAACCATGCCAGGTCCTATCTGGTGGATTCTTATCTGCATTCCAGTACCGCGGCAATTGGGACAGCACTCGACGGCTCCTTTCTTACCACCTCGGCCTTCACATTTGTCACAAATCACATTCTTTTGCAGAGCTAGTTTCCTGGTTGCACCGTTATATAAATCTTCTAAGGTTACTGAGAGCTGATGTACAACATTTTTACCTCGCCTTTCTCTCTGCATCCTTCCTCCTCCTCCAAAAAACATATCAAAGATGTCCATGGGGGAGCCAAAACCGCCACCTGCGCCACCTTCTTTAATGGCCTGTTCTCCTCCTTTGTCATATAATTCCCTTTTCTTTGCATCAGAGAGCACTTCGTAAGCTTGAGATATCTGTTTAAACTTCTCGCCTTCGTTTGGATTCTTATCAGGGTGGTACTTCAAGGCCAGTTTCCTGTAAGCCTTTTTCAATTCCTCCTGGGTGGCATTGGGTTTGACCCCCAAAACATCGTAGTACGTAGTTTCCTTCACCATTGTCTACAGCCGGTGAGCGGGCCGAGGCCGGGGTGGGGGAGCGAGAGAGAGCGCGTTGCTGTGCGCAGCTCGGGCAGCCGCTGCTCCTCCGCCTCTCACCGAGCGTTCTGGTTATATCTTTAATACATAATTTCATATTGAACTTAAAAGGTGCAAAAAGAAAAGGCATTACTGAAATACTGAAGGCATTATTAGAACAAATTTATTTGGAGAGAGAAATACAACTCTCATATTTGCAATAAAAGATATTTCTGAAATATCAAAGATAAACCCATAACAAGAACAGTAGAAATGTGGTTGATAGAATTCATGCCAGCGGGGTGAAAGATATTACGCAACTCCCAAAATGAACTCTGTATGACACAGATTGACCAAACCAAGGAGCAAGTGCCAGCCACATGCATAAGTCCATCTGATACAAGTTCATAGTTCCAGTGAGTGAAGGTGACCACCAGCTCCTACATCGGACAGAGAGCAGAAAAGCAGAATTGGTATAAGGAACCAGAATGAGAGCCACCAATTATTCCAGCCTCAGTCACCACTGAATAAGTCATGATCATCATGTGCTTTTATTGGCGTGCTATTTGTCACCATGACTACAATTACATGATGTTAGACTGTGTCCAAGGAGTCAAGGAAAATATAATCATGGTTAAGAATCTTTTCACGTTATTTTCATTCTCCTTTATAATGGGGTGCAGAATTGGTGTCTCTATTGTGGCAATGTTCTTGCCCACAGAAGCATCAAACCAAGTTAGCTAACAAAGTAACCCATACCTATGCATCCTGCACAGCTACTGGATGGTTTGCATCGTTTCATGAGGAATAAAATCAGGTTGAAATTATTAACAGGTTACCAAAACCTAAATTTACTCTGTTCCCAAATCATTTTATGAAGTATCCTAAAAACCTGCTTTTTCTATAGCTAAACAACACAAACCGTACATAATTAGAGAATTGTTTGTGTAGCCATGTGTTAGAGAAAAGTTAAACTTTTGTGTCTGAGAGCAAAGAAGGGAAATGTAGATATCACAACGGTAGACCCTGCTCTGCTCCTGTCCCTTCCTATCCCTTCACTCAACTAAATTCTTCATTGCACTGTTCAGCATCACATCATATTAAGCTTGGTTTTCCATTCTTTCTTCCATCGTCAGAATTTATGTTCCATGAGGCTACTCAAAATGGGCATTTTTTTTCATCATTATATTCCCAGGATCTAGAACCTGTTAGACACTCACTCACCAAATATTTCTTAAACAAATAAATGAGTGGAGGAAGAAAACAGTTCCTCTCTCTAAAGATGAAATGAGCTCTGGTGTCACTGACATCTGAACCAATTCCCGGGGCAGGTCACGGAACAAATGACAGCCATCTCATTTCCCTCCAGGTTATGACTGTGAGAAAAGACTGGTGCATTTAGTGGACCAACTCCCGCTTTTCATTTGTTAAAGAAACTCGAGTGGCATCAAAGATAATTCTTATATTTTGAAAATGTCAAATGTCTTAATATCTTACAAAATAAGAAAAGTTCTTTTGCCAGGCAAAATATCCAGCTAATGAAAAGGCACACTGCTCAGAGCCTGGATGGAGAACAGAGGGTGTCCCATAACACGCACCTAGTTTTGTTGCTTTGACAAGGAACGATGCCTGGTATCTCACGGAAACTCTGTCGTCTGCATCCTCACGTGTTGTTGACAAGGACTCAGCCCCAAATCCCCAAAGCAGTGCTTTTAATGTTGTACAGACAGTTAGCTTCATCAAAGCGAGGACGTTAAATCACCACCTTTTGAAGACGTTTTACTGAAAAAATGAAACATCTCAGAGGACGTCTTCAAGGTTTGATTGAAATCTAAGCAATAAGAAAAACAGGAAAAACTGATTTTATGAACTATTGAACAGGCAAGAGGCTTCATGAGCTGATATACTTGCAGTATTTCTGGATGCGGAGGTAAGACAAGCTCTTTGATTCAGAGGCCCTGCAGGCTTATTATGTGCACACGTTGGGCCTAGGTGATGGTTTGGAAGAAGTTTGGAGGAAGATAACTGTGCAAACAGTTCAGGGCTCAGAGAAATCTTGCTGAAGGCTCTGCTTAAAAAAGAAACTGCTCATTTTTCTGGTGATGGAAATCTTAGCCTCTGAAACTTTGAAGAACTGTTTTCTAAATTTGTTTCCTTATAGAAGACTTTTTTTTCCATTGAAATGTTAATCTGCATTAAAGGCACAAACACCACCAAACGTAAACTCACTGAGTTGAGGACAAAGGAAATAATACAACTTCAACTCCAGGGTCTTGGAAAATTCAGATATTTCTTGAGTTAGCCTCCCCTTTTCCAGCCAAAAAACTTACAATGTTTATAATTTGTTAAAATATGACTTTAAGAATTGACCTGTTTTTTGCCATCAAAAAGAAAAATGGAAATTGTTTAGGTGACAAAGAGAATGCCCATAGCTCTTTTTCAAGCGTGTTCACAATTTCAATTTCTTATCTAATCCAAACATCAGTGTTAGTTCTATATTTAGATTTAACTTTATGCAGAAGTAAGTGTTATTTATTATTTTTGGTGAGAAATTTATATAAAGTTCTTTTATTTTATTCAGGAAGACTGCATCACCTTTTCTCATGAAAAGGTGAGACCTAATTTATATAGTTAAGTATTTTTTTTTCATGTAAGGACTCAAAATAATACAGCTCAAGTGAGTTGAGAATAGAAATATACTTTACGTTCCTATAGTTTACACATATATATAGTTTATATATTTTATATATATATAATAAGTTGAGCATAGCTTATTGCAAAACCTGAGCTCAGTTCTTGGTTAGGTCTTTGTTTTATTATTTCTACAAATATCTAAGTGCAAAGCTGCTTTTTAGATATTGGTAAGGAAAGGTACCTGATCCAGATGAACTCACTATTCAATTTAGTGATAATCCTGATGCCAAACGTTGCATGTGTTAGATACAGTGAAGAGAGATTCAGTGACAAACGTTATTCTGATTTCTATGTCCCATTCCACACACAGCAAAGCCTGGCACCACTGTGTAATGAGTCAGATGCACTTACTAAGTACTTGCTGTCTGGGGCATTCCTTTAAACCAAGTATTTAAGAACCCAGCTCTGAAATTCCCATCTTGAGCTGAGCTGTCTCTCTGCATTCGGAACAGACAACGGACAGGCTATCATCATCCAGTCCCATGTTGAAAAAGGGCATACGAGTAACAGACAACACGCTATTGTGATTGTCTTCTTCCTCTCAGGCATTTTCACATTTCTTCATTCTTTTCCATTTAAAATCCATGCTGAGGACTGAAGGCACAGACAATCACTTTTCTTTGCACCATCAAAGATCAGTACAACTTCTGAGAGACACGAAGAAACAGTACTTAATGCATCTATGTTGAAAGTAGGTAAAAACACAGGTGATGAAAACGTGTTATAGAACAGAAGAGAGAGAATATGTGTTTATTTGGCACCTGGCGGGAAGTTCAGATGAGTCAGAAGGCTAGAAAGAAGCAGAAACTGCATCGCATTCATCACAAAAAAAAAAAGATGAGTTGTTTTAAAGGCTGAACTCAGCAGGGAAAACAAAAATTACACATTTAGGTCAGTCTTGAGGGACTTCCGAGATTGTTTCAGGCTTAATATTTCTGCCTCTAAGTCAACATTATACTCAATTAATCTGCCCTTGTCTAGAAGTAGAGAGAGATCTTAAACGCTCTTATTCTTTCTTGCCGTGAGGAACTTTCTCCTTGGAGAATGCGGCGCACAAATTGCAAGATCAAACCTTTTTTTTGGCTCTGAAACCTAAGTTACTATAGCAAGACCTGGCAGTGTCTTTCAGAGGAAAATGGGTGGCGTGAGATCAGGAAACATAAATTATTGTGACTGAAATGAGCATTCAGAGCGGATCCACAGGGCCGGGTGACATTTTTCACGTATAAGAGAACTTACCGAAAAGAGTGATGCCTGGTGAACTCTATGCTAATGTGGACTAGGAAAAGAATAACAAGCTTGAGGTTGGTAAAATATTGACAATTCCAAACACTACTGGCCTTAGACGTCACTATCAGAACTCCCCAGTGTCCCCGACAACTTAATTTTCTCTGTACTTGGATCACTACGGGTAAGTGCTTCTGTTAAAGGACAGACGTGAGTCCAGGTGTTGACCTCTTAAAGTGGGAAACCGAAAGCAACATTTTTGCTAGGGTTTTGCAGCCATTATCTCCATCTAAGTTTTCCAAAAATTATGACCTTCGATGTCTCACATATATGGTTGCCACACGAAGTCAAATGTTCATGATTTTCAGGTTTTTGTAGGAGCAGGAGACGGAGAAGAATTCTGCAGAGCCTCTTGACTGTTTCATTCAAACTGATAAAAGGAAAATAAGTGAATTCTATCATTCCATGCTTCTACTCGTAAAGGTAGTTTTCCATTTTGCAAATGTACCAGTCCTTTAACAGGTCATTTTCTAAGTTTGTTTGTGGTGGATTTCCTCTAACCGTCAAAACTAGAGGTCTAGGCAATTGAAATGGTCCACTCTCCCTCTGCTTTCTAGGGCTCCGAATCCTCTTTACTTGACACACATTAGAAACTGAATAAATGTTAATTCCCATTCTTATTAGTAGCTGATAGTGAGGTCTCTAAGTGGGGGGAGCTGGAAATTACAGTCAAGTCCCTCCAGGGCAGATTGGAGACTGGGTGGGCTGTGCATTTGCGAAGTGATGTGAAAATCTCCGTGGTGAGGTTTGAACACCCACAGTAAGATCTGTAGCATCAAGACTATGATCTTTTATTCAAAAATTCAAAACCTGAATAAATATCAAATGTTTGCCAAATTGCTAGCATATTTCTGCAAATGTAACAAAAATAGGAATATGGCGAATAATATAATACCCGTGCTTGAAATCCACATTTCTCATGTAAAATACATACATAGAAAACTCATACTTGTGGTTGCCATGGAGAAAAATTTCATAAAGTTAAAATAGATTATTATTTAACAAGTTAGTAGGCTTGAAAACAAGAGAAGTCCGGTTTTTCTTCAATGAAACTGAGTAAAAACCAAGATCACACCATTGTGATTATATTATTAGTGGTAATA